CTTCTCCCCTCCCCCCGGCTCCGAAGTGGTGGCGGCGTTCTCCCTGCGCTCTGCCCTCCCCCCCCCCCCGCTCCGGACCGAGGCTGCTCTCCTCTCACCCACCCCTGCTCCAGTCCGAGGCCCGGTGGCTTGCAGCCGGCCGGGCCTTGCGGCGCCTGCTCGCCCGCCCACCTGCCCGGGCAGCTCCAAAACGACAGCGGCGTGGCCCGCTGCAGAGTGTCCCCTGCGCAAGCGCAGGGGACGCTCTGTCAGTTTCGGGGGGATTTAAACATCCCCCCGATATTTTTTTTACAGGTTTCGTATTTTTGTGCACACCTGGGGACCGCCCCACGTGTGCCCAAAAATCTCCCTGCCCCCCAGGTGGCCCCGGAGCGCGGATTTAGGTATCCGCACAGACGGGGCCACTTGGGTATTAGTATAAGGATACACTGAACAAGAGTGAGCAGTGTGATGTGGTTTCTAAAAAGGCAAATGCGATTTTGGGCTGGGTCAACAGAAGTATAGTGTCCAGATCATGCAAAGTTTACCCTGCTCTGGTTAGACCTCACTTAGAGTATTGTGTTCAGTTTTGGGCACCACAATTTAAGAAGGATATAGACCAGCTGGAACGTGTCCAGAGGAGAGCAATGAAGATGATGAGGGGTCTGGAGTCCAAGTCCTATGAGGAAAGGTTGAAGGAGCTGGGTATGTTTAGCCTGGAGAGGAGATGACTGAAAGGTGATATGATCATCATCTTCAAGTACTTGAAGGGCTGTCATATAGAGGATGGTATGGAGTTTTCTGTTGCCCCAGAAGGTCGGACCAGAACCAACAGGTTGAAATTAAATCAGAAGAGTTTTCGGCTAAACATTAGGAAGAACTTCCTGACAGTTACAGCGGTTCCTCAGGGGAACAGGCTTCCTCAGGAGGTGGTGGGCTCTCCTTCTTAGGAGGTTTTCAAACAGAGGCTAGATGGCCATCTGACAGCAATGCAGATCCTGTGAACTCAGGCAGATCATGAGAGGGAGGGCAGGAAGGGTTGCCTCAGTGCTTAGTTCTTGTGGCCCTTTCTTACATACCACTTTGCCAATCACCACTTTGGGGTTAGAAAGCAATTTTTCTCCAGGCTGGCTTGGCAAGGGATCCTGAGGCTTTTTTTGTTATCTGGGTGTGGAGCAGCGCTCACTGCGGGTGTGAAGTGGGAGGTATTTGTGAATTTCCTACATTGTGCAGGGATGGACTAGATGACCCTGGAGGTCCCTTCCAACTCTGTGATTCTGTGATTCACTTTTAGCAAGCCCCCCCCCCAATAACCTCTGCATCAGTTCTAAGACACAACAGCTTCCTACTATGACATGCCACAGGTATACCATGCAGTTTGTGACTCTGAAGAAGAGAGAAAACAGGAAGTTTATTGAAGGTGAAACTTCTGTGTGGTATAAAGCACATTGTCTTTGTCTGATAGCTCAGGCAAATTTTTTCCACTCAGCATGTTGTAGCTGTATTCCATTTGGGTTTTATGCATGCAGAGAAAGCAACAGAAGAATTAGAAAAAAGCATAGACCTGCATATTCCGCTGCATTATGCATCAAACGAGTTTCCTGTGTAAGCATTGATATCAAGCTTTGGTGTGAGTTTTTAAAAGGTTCTCAGTGGGGCTCCCTTTGTGCTGTTGTTCTATTGTTTTTTTTAAAGCTAAGACATCACATGTTTTCCTTAACTAGTAACAGGAGTCTGGATCCCATGATGCTGACATTGTTTGCTCCATGCTTGCAGTGGATTCCTATAGTTTCCCCTCTTTGGTTCTTTGGTTCTTTGACTATTTGTTTTGTGTAAAGCCATCTGACTCGTGGTTTGCTTAAAGCTTTGTGACTTAGAGTTTCAGCTTTGCTAGGCCTGGCAAAGAAAATGGCTTCCTTTTGTACCCAAATAGGTTTTCTCCATACCAAATTTGAGTGCATGACATGGTGAATTCATACAAACACTGTACTTAGTGAATAAGATGGTCAAGATGAAGCAAATGAAATATACCCATTATGGCAGATAGGAAACAGATTTGCATAGCATCTGGGACTGAGGAAGGAGGCATGAGGGGCAATCAGAAAATGAGGAAGCAAGTAAACCTGTTTCTGGGCTTACAGTTTCAGAAAGCAGGTGGGGGCTTGTGTAATTAAGTGATCTTCCATTAGCCCCCTCCCAGTCCACTGCACAGAAAGTGCTTAAGTGTGTCAGAGAAGCCTAGGCTAGAACCGGTTTCCGTGATATGTAGTTTGCACACTGAGCATCCTTTTATTGTGGAAAAAGTGGCTTTGAACTTAAACTCTCTGCCCGCAGAACAAAAGCCTGCAGCACACTTGTATTCTAACCGTTTGCACCACACCTGTTATTTCTGCCTTCACCCTTTTTTTTGCAGAGAATTTGTTTTTCCTGCAGTGGTGTTTTCAGTCATGTAAACTCTGATCTGAAGTCTGGAATGGAACAATCTAGGGGGGGGGAAGGCTTAGCCCTTCATCTGTTGTTTTGTTAGGCACTGGTTTGAACCTGTAGTGGATTGTGAGATCCTTAAACGATTGCCCTTTTTTTTAAAAAAAGGAAGAGAACATGCTTTCTTTTATGAGATTCTTGCCATTAAGAACTAGGTGGAAAATATAAATATGCATACAGAGCTGAGAGACTCTAGAATATAAATAAAACCCTTAATATCTTCATTGTGTATCAGGAGTACATGAAGGATTAGCATCTGGTTCAGATTTAGACTCTTGAGGGGAGTCATCTTCTCCCTCCCATTTGCGAGGCGGGAAAACATATTCTTGGTCCAGTGTTTCCTCTCACAGTGGCCTTCCAATGAAAACTGATTGCTAATCAGTGGAACAAGCTGGGGGCCTACAAGGAATCATGGGGCGATTTGGAATTGCATGTACCCAAATCCCAAATCCTCCCCTCTGATTCTGTCAGGGACTTGAGCAGGCTGATCTCTCTTCCGTCCTCCAACTGATTCTTAGGTGCTCAAGTTTCCATTCCTTCTGGAACATTTTCAGTCATCAGGCTGTTTTTGAGCGTCTATCCCCCTCTTTTCATTAGTGTATAAAGTCGTCTTTTTTTTGCACATCGGGGAATTCCCCAGGGTAGCTGCATACCCCTCCATCATGGCGATGATGTTGATTATCATTGTTACTATTATTATTTAGGTCATTTATCGGTTGCTTTTCCAGCCAAAGTGGCTCAAAGCAGTGTTCTCTTTAAAATCAAATAAAACGATTCCTGTACAGTTCATTAAAACATCTAAAACCCTCAGCAGTACAGGTATAGAACTTTAGCAGGTAACAAATGCCATTCTTCCTCAAGCCATCTTGAAGGCCTTCTGGAAAATAAAGTTTTCAGTTCAGTCCAGAAGGCCTGTAGGGGCAATGCCAACTTCATTTCCAGGAAAAGTGAGTTCCACAGTCTGGAGGAGGGCAGCTAAAAAGCCCTCCCCTTGGTCCCAGCCGGTCTAACCTCCTCTAAGGGTGGCTCGTAGAAGAGTACCATGCATGGATCCTGGAGTCCAAGCAGGTTGATTGTGGTCCTTTAGAGACGGTGGGCCACCTTGTCTCTGAGTGGTCTGGTTTCCCAGCTTTCCTTGCCATACAAGGGCCAGCTAGTTTACCTTTAGATAAATCAAGAGTCCCCAACTTTGTTGACCTTGTGGTACTTATGGGATTTGGAGGTGTGGTAGCAGGTGCCACCACAAAGTGGCTACTGTTGGGGTCCTAATCCACCCCATACACTTTTAAAATCAAGTTTAATTAAAATGAAATGTTCAGTGGTGGAGAAATGGAAAATTTCAGTTCTAGCAGATGTTCTTCCCACTGTTTTTCCTTTCTTGGCTTTCCCTCAGATAAAACACACGCCCTTCCAATATTGCCAAGATTAAAACAGGGATATGTTTGTAATACCCCACCTCTCTCTCTCCCTCTCTCTCAAACACACAGAGTTACTCATAGCTGAAGGCTGTTCCCTGCTTGCTTCATGTTAGGCTCAACAAATGGTTGTCCTGCACCAGTTTCAAAGCCAAGAGGATGTCTGTTCCTTTGCTTAAAACTGAAAATAGGCTTCTGCTATTGCAGTGTATAAGTCAAGTGGCCTGTGTGCTGCATGGAGCTTTAGTGTTCATGCATGTGTTCTGTGGACAAGATGTATGCATTCCTGTTTACAGATATAACTTCTACAGACCTGGGAGAGGAAGCCAAAATCTGCAACTCTTAACAGCCTGCACTAAACATTTTAACGAAGAATCCCCTCAAAAGCTACAAATAGGAACAGTGATCTGCCAGGGAGACCATCCCTGTGTTTGCTGTCTGATTGAATTGCTTTTCATAGTTTGTAATCTGCCTTGAGTCTCAGTAAGAATGGTGAAGTATAAATGAAGTTGGTAATGCTGCTAATAATTCATAGAGACAGCTGCATCATATGAAATATACATGTAGAGTTTCCAAATACAGTTCCTTTTAAGTCACCTTTAAACTGTGTCTCCTTTCTGTGATAATGCAATCATAACTTTTTTTTAATTGGTCCTTTTTTGGACCCCAACCCCCCTTTTGTATTTCACCCTCCCTTCCATTACAGGGAGAAAAATCCTTGGGTGTCCATTATCTTTAAGTGACTTACATCAAAGTGCTAACTGGTATAAACTGTGTATGTGCTACTACAGCTGTTATAAACATAATTTCTGAGACAGGAGAACACAGAACAGTCTTGCTTTGCAAATGTTGCACTTCCGTTGTGTTTGCCTTATTTGGGTCCATTTTTGATGGCTGGCAACCAAGCTGGTTGTCAAGAAACGAGATTTACAGTGTATAGAAAGACCTGTTTTGAGCTGAGATGCCAAAAGAAACGGCATGGTGTCTATTGGAAGGGAGTATTTATAGAGGGCATCCAAAATAGAATGCTGTATTCCTCTGATGTTGTTTTAACGTACATATTTTTAAAACTGTCCTAGGGCGAAGGCTGCCGTACCGTTCCTCTTTCTGGCCACGTAGGATTTGACAGCCTGCCTGACCAACTGGTTAATAAATCAGTTAGCCATGGTTTCTGTTTCAACATCCTGTGTGTGGGTGAGTACTGTTTTTTTTTTACCCCTGCTGCTTCCATTTTTGGGAAAGTCTGATGCTGGAAATGGGTCTCTTTGTGCTGCTTGACGTCACATGTAGGTAAACTGGGTGGACAAGTAAGCCTTTGATTTATCCAGAAAACACATCCTGAGTCATCTGATTAAGTTTTATGCCAGACGAATAAGGTTCACTGGCTCTTTGGGAGGTCTGAAGATGATGGGATGGAATGAGGTCTATGTTGCTGGGCAGATGAACAGCCAAAACGGAGAGCGTGATCCTGAAGGGCTGTAGAGTTCCAAGGCCTGCGCTATGATGCTTCTGCCTGGCTGCAAGATGGAAAAGAAGCTGGATAACCTCGTTTCAAGCCTGCACTTAACAGAATGAAAAGAAATCTGCAGGATCAGTCAAGCATGCTGCTGTTTTGTGTACAAGTTCATCTGCTCCAGTTATGATGATGATGAAAGCAAACCTGTTTCTGGTGGGGGAATTGCAGGGACGAATGCTTCTCAATTTAAAAAAAAAAACACATTCATATAGAAAACCAACTTGTATGGGAGAAGGCTAGTTTTCTGCATGCAGGGAGTGAAAAAAAAACTTTTCTGTACTAGGATCTCGGAGAATCAAGGTTCAGATCTCCATTCTGCCACGAAGTTCACTGGGTGAACTTGAGCCAGTTATTCTTTCTCAACCCTAACCTACCTCAAAGGGTTGTAATGTGGGAAAAATGGAGGAGAGACAAATGATGCACATGCACCCTGAGCTCCTTGGAAAGAAGATGGGATACAAATTTGCTTAATAACAAATAAATCTTGGCAGTGGTGTAAGTTGGATGCATCTGCTTGGATGGGATGCAAAGTGAGCCTAAAAAGCCAGGCAATATATATTCAGAATGATGTTCTCTGTGAATGTTTCTGCTTATGCTTAATACCTCTGACAGATGCCTCCAAGTTGGTCAGAGGTGCAGTCCTTATGTTTATTTGCCCATTATATTTTTGTTTTTCTTTTCAAACAAAAATTGTCTCACCACATGGCTCACATCAATAAGAAGTTCCAGACCAGTTGAGCAGCAGGAGCTGAATATGAAGTTGACAGCTATTTCAATTACATAGCTAATAAAGTAGGCAAATGAATTACCATATGCAAATAAACAATGGCCAGGGTTTGTGTTGTTTTTTTAAACAGCAAATGAGGGAAGTGTCAGCATAGCTTGGGAAACGGGGTTGAAAACACCTTTCTTGCAAGCATTATACTACATGGTCGAAAGGCTGATTTGTTCATTGACTGCCTTTTGTGTGGAGCTGCTGCATTGCTATATGTAGATAGCTGGATTACTGTTGGGGGTCTGTTCTAGTTTCAAGGTAACACTAATGGAGGATGGCAGGTGCACTTGAAGGAGGATTTCCGCTATTTAGGGAGAAAGAGAAGTGGTCTGTCTTGGTTATTCTTCCTTTCCTCTATGCTGTCGTTCATGCCTGCAGCTAGCAATGTTAAAAGTATTTGTTAAATGGACTTTTTATGACACATTTTCAACTGCCACTCAGGTGGACATGTGGAGCTACTTTTACCAAGTCTGTTGGTCTGCATTGCTTATATTGTCTACTCTGACTGGCAGTTGGCTCTCCAAGGTCTCAGGAAGAGAAAGGTCCTTCCCTGTATCTTCTACTGGTGATATTTTCAATTAGAAGTGCTAGGGATTGCACCCAGGCCAGTCTGATTGCAAAGCGTGTGCTCCAACAAAGCTTCCAAAAGTGGGTTAACATATCTCCATTATATTGTTATATCTGCATAGGTTTATTCAGTGTCAGCTGCTGTTTTCTGGGGTGGGATGTGATGTGGAATGGTATAAGATAGCCGGATCTCATCAGATCTCATAAGCTAGGCAGGGTCAGTACTTAGATTGGCGACCACCAAGGAAAACACTGCAGATGAAGGCAACAGCAAACTGCCTCTGCTTCTCACTTGCCTTGAAAACCATATTCAGTCTCCATAAGTCAGCTGCAACTTGATGGCACTTTACTTACACACACACACACACACACACACTTTCTGAGATTGCAAGAAGAGTAATCTCCATACCTGGAGACACCTTTGGTTGACGAGAGAGCTTCAGGGAAACTGGCTAGAACAGAAAGGGAGCCTCTACAGTTGACCAGCACAGATCATGTGTAAGTACTTAATTCTTAGCTCATGAGAACCAATTTGTCATCTGGGACCCAGTGCTGTTTTTAGGATCTTAGCAAAAATAAACAAACAATGAAAGTGTTCTAAAACCCATTCTTTGGGTAACATGTGCCGCAATGTTTGGGCCACCATTAGACAGTCAGAATTCTCAGAACTGCTGCTTCTGTGGATATTAATGGGAATGAGGGCTGATAGGGAGACATGTGCTTCCTATAGTATGATGGATTTGAACTGCATTCAGCTTTATGAGTAGGAACCAGCACTTTGAATTAAACCATAAGCCAACCAAACAGTGCTCCTGCCTTTGAACTTGTCATGTGTGGTTTCTCCTCCATCAGAAAGTGAGCAGTTATATCCTGCACCAGCTGTAGCTTCAACAAGGAACCATATGTTTACAAAAAACATTTGAGGGAAAACATAGACTGTGCAAACACACTACAAACATTTCTATTTACAGACCGTCCTTTTTGGGCCTACTTTCCTCCATTGTCCCTTTAGATGACGCAGCAACTGGCTAGCGGCAGAAAAGCAGTGCACGTCTCTCCCCGAATCAAGGTGCTGCAAAACTGTCATAAAGCTGCCATAAAGTATGCTGCTAGAAAATGCGGTAGGACACATAAGGGTGAAGTCCAGGATCAGGTGCAAGTCCAGGTGGGTGTCTCTCAGGCAAGTCTTTTTGTTGCTCAGACTAGTGAGCAAACTTGGAGGCTTTGGTAGGGATTTAGCGCATGACCTAATGCCATATGACATGTTCTTTCTGATTATTGTTGGGACTTGTAAGTTGGTTGTCGTGGTTTCCCTGTAGTTTAGGGGAAAGGTTGGAATAAGAAGAAAAAGAATGAGAAATATAACTATGCATGTAGTTTTAATGTACAGAACATCAGTGTACAATTTAATAATGCAACCAGAAGTGCTAAAACATAATTAAAACCAACAGTTCTGTGGTTCAGCATATAAGTACCTAATTCCAATGTAAAGACAAATGTCAATTTACGAAAATACAGGCTTAAAAGTACATATTGTCTCCATGTGCAAGAACCAATACCAAACACTTTTTGGCACCGGGCCTTCCGCAGTGGTATAAGTCAAACTGAGCACTCCATTAATTTAACAATAACATACAGAAAATCGACCATACAAAGAATGGACCTGAAATGAAAATGAAAAAATTATCTAAATGTCTGATGCGAAACAAAATTAATTTAAAAATTTGAAATAAATGAAACTAGGATAGTGACCTTACTCACACCAAGATGTTCACCCATGGAGTAACTGGTATCAAATTTTCCTGTGATACAACATGGGGAACTCATCAAGATGCAAAATATTTCCTTTGCCCATGGATCTAGAATACACATAAAACATGTAACAGTAATTATAAATTAAAAAGTCTCCTTATTGGTTTAGAAAAAAGGGTATGTAGCCAATTGGAAAAACCAACAGCACAGGCAAAATGTATCACATGATGTCATTCACATCCCCAGTCTGAGATCACTTAAGGGTTCTCAAATGGCCAGAATTCTGCAACCATCCTCTTTTCCTTTCTTCCCTGTTTCAGGCTGTTAACTGGAATTACTTGTTTAGTTTATTTTTGGTGGCCTTTCCCAATAAAACAAAATCATTTATGATAAAGGTATTTAATGTGGTTCAGAAGGATTTAGCAGCTCATGTTTTAGTGTTGCAAGTTACCCTTCGATGGTAACCTAGACATTTTATCTCTTCCCCCTCCCCCTCCCCATAAAATAGGTATTCTTCTGGATGCAAGTTTGCTGTGTTGGATTAAATTTTACAAACAAAAGAACTTGGAAAATGATATCAAAGAGCTTAAAGTATCAGCTTCTAAATATCTTTCTTCACTTCAGACTAAAAGCAAAAAAAGTAGCGTTTAGATTGTTGCATCAACCAAAATTAGGTCACAGGATTTTTTTAAAGAATGCAAATAGTAATTAAAACACGATACCAAACTTTAATAGGGAAGCACATTCTCAGCTGAGTTAGGGCCAGACATGAAGGAAGGGACCCCGACTGCTTCCTGCCCTCATTCTGGTGCTGTCATTGATGGCATTTGGAAGCTGGAAGGGAGAGGGGTTCTCAGATGGAGCTAGATTCAGCATGAAGGAATGGCTAAATAACAGGGTAATCTGCTGGAAGCCAGAATGTTCCTTAAGGGCCAGAGCTATGTAACAACCCATGGTGAAGCTGAGTATGATATCATCCACCATGGTTAAAGATTGGGTGCAAATCATGGCATAGGTTTGCAAACCATGGTAAAGTATTACATCTCTCATATAGCAAACCCTGATGAAGACAGCTTGCCTTCACTTGATTTGCAAGGTGATAAAAGAGGTCTTGCTTGTGTTGAATTACAATGGCTCTGTAGTAGTATGATTATTATGATAAGCGAAACCATACTTTCATTGTACATTTGTAATCTTAACTAAAGGTAGCTCTAATCATGGTTAGGTGTCATGTCTGTACCAAGTGCAGATGGGTACCCTGGCCATTGTTTCTTGAATACCGTTTTGGCAGCTTCCTAGCTTCCTTCCAGTTCAGTGAATCAATCTTATAAACCTTTTACTGTCTTGTATGATCTCCATTGTGCTGTCTATCTTATTTAGCGTGTGTGAAAGAGATAAAGAAAGCAGAAGCGGTTGGCAGTACAGCTTCAGCCATCACCTTTGGGGAGACTGGAGCAAACCACCATTACATTAGCCTGGAATTGTACTATAAGTAAATGATGGTTCCCCTGCAGGGGATTTAATAAAATCTAGGTTGTCTGCTCTGATGCTACTGTATTAGAATTGTTAAGGCCGTCCAAGCAT